TATGATTGGATCAAAATTTCTTAAAAATAAAAATAAAAAATCTCCCCTCTTTTTGGCACCTCATCTATATGTAAATCATTATCTACAAGTAACATTATTCTAAATATCAAGATATATTATCATGAACTTATGGCACAATAAATAAAGGAATACAATATCATCCCTAATTCCGATCAATAGGAAAGTGATAGGAATGAAGCTAGCGCGAGAACTATTCTGTTCTTATTTCTAGATTGAATCACATTCTACCTCACCAAGAAGAGCTACTATATAATAAATAATCAATGCATAGCACGTGAACCATTTTATTCTTATGTCTAGACGTAAAATAGCTCAAACCACATTCTACCTCATCAAGAAGAGATACTGAGAATATATAATCAATGCATTTGGTCAATTTCATATTGTGGACTAGCTGGAGGGCATCACATCCTACCGCGACAATCTGCAGTCCCCCCTCTCTCGGAAATAAATTGAAGTCCCTCACGAAGAGCCAATGATTCAGCATTTACAGCAGTAATAGCCTAGAATACTGAAACCGAAAAAGGGGGGAAAGACAAAAAAGGCCAAAAGATCACCGTATCAAATCAAGGCATATAAACCTTACAGTTCCTCATTGCTGCTTTATTCCCTTGTTTCTTGTACAAAAAAACAGCTATTAACCTTCAAAGAATGAATAAATGATGACATACATCGGCTGCCTTCAATCAGCAGAAAGATATTATTATGAACAAAACTAAAGGAACAAAATCCCAGGGTTGAAAATACATTATGCACAATAATTTCAAAGCCATATAACAAAATGTACAAAAATTCTCAGCCACCTTCAACAATGGTTCTCACCAAGCTTTAGAAACTCAAAACTATGCTCCTCCTCCTCCTACTGCATCCCCACCTATAATTCAGGGAAGATAATGGAACTATAGTCTGCTTTAAGTACTCAGCTACAGTCTCTTTGGATGGCATGGATGATATCTGTGTATCTAGTTAGTAAGAAAATTCGTGCCCTCGGAGAGATATATACTTCTTAACCCATATAGCAATATCCTCACAACAAGCTTGGGCTTTAGGGGTCTTGAGAAGCACGTCGAGGGTAGCAAATTCATGTACAGCATCCTTGTAATCAAGTACGGGGGCATCCACATTAACCTTTCGAAGCTCCTCAGAGTATGCGATGGCTCGATCCCGCATCCAATCATGTTCAGCCACTACTGTCAGTGTCGGTGGCATGTACTTCAGGGGTATCTCTCTCCCGGGGGTAAGAGGGTTAGCAGCTGGGTGGTCCAAGTTGAATTCTTCTTCAGGTAAAAAGAGTTTCCATGCAAGAATGGACATAGATTTGTCATAAAGGTAAGAATTACACATCTTAACCTCAGAACGTGTCGGTGCACTTCCGATGAAGAAAGGATACATAAGGACTTGTGCTACCACTCTTATAGGGTCCAAAAGGTTGCCCGCCTTGACTGCATGTTGCGCCACGTGGTTGGCGATATTGGCACCGCAACTGACTCCAAGGAGAACACATCTGTTTGAAGACCCAGGCAAGTTAGTTGATTCTACTCATTAAAAATATCGTGCTATGGAACCAAATTGCAACATAACTGTTGCCTTAATTGAGCCAAATCAAAGACAATTATCCAAATCATTACTAATTGCAAGACAAGGCTACTAGTAATGTGCTCTCAACGAAAATGACATGATTCTGCAGCAAATTACAGAAGTGCAAAACCTTACCCGCTTCTTGTTGAAAATGAGAGGGTCAATTAAATAAGTGATAACCACATTGAAACAGAACAAGAATCTTTAGATTACTTCCACTTCCTTTAACACATAATATGTAATGTAAGATTAAAATGCAAGCTTCAAAAATGAGAGTTAAGTCGGTGTGTTAAGATGGCTGGATTATTATCAGTCCAGTCATTTCTGTTCCTTGTAAACACCATAATCCTTCATCTCGATTTCAAAAACTAAAGCATTTTTGAAAAAGAAGAAAAGAGAAGTTTTAATGTTAATGCTAAGGAACCAAAAACATAAAAAAGGAAAAAGAAAAACAAATGTCAACTGTGTGAAGCAATGGGGATTACATACTGTGGCTATGTGAGTAAACCGGTAGTTAAGGTAGAGCGCGTGAAGGTGTCAAAAATCATAACTATGTAGCTGAAGTACCACACAGTGAATGAATGAAAATAATGTAATAAAGCCAAGAACTGATTTAGAATTCCAAAAATATTACGTCATTTGCCACTTTTCCACGCATCTAAATTCCTTTCAAAACACAGTGATTGGACCTTGTTAGTTGGGAAAACAATAAAGTCACCATTCAACTCAAACTGATTTAAGTGGTTTGAAAGTGATGTTTAATGGTTTAAGATTGTGAGCATGGAATCATTGACAACTTAACTATACAGAACAGGAAAAACAATATTTAAGGATTCTGCTTGTCTATATTTTAAAACAAGAACAACAACATGATGCTGTAAAGTAAAACTACATGTAAAGATCATACAGCAAAACCTCGGACTCACTCAGATCAAAGTAAAACTCTGATATCATATTCAATATACTACTATTCAAACCCACACTTCTTATTCACTGAAATTCTAATATAATCATAAAACATTCAATCAAAAGCTGTTAACAGGATATGAATTCTTTACTTGAAAACTAATCATTATAATCCGTATATAATACACGAGAGCTTAAATAAGAAAGAAAGAATATACCTAGATGGGTCTCCATGAGCAGCCAACCATGGCTCAACCATGGATGAACCGAACCCATCAACAATCTGCTGCCTCCTCCCTTCTCGTCCCAATGAACCGATACCTTCACCTTCAATCCTCCCATTCCCCAATGACCGACTGCACTCTGCCAAATTCGCCTCCTTCGCCAACCAGTTCAAGACTTTCACTCCATCCTCAAACGCAGCCGGGTACCTACTCTCTGGGGCCAATCTATAACCTACTGCCACCACCACTGCGTCGCATAATTTCGCTATTCTCCTACAAAACATGTCGTTAGCCACTGTATCATTCCCCCCACTCACCCATCCCCCTCCATGAAACTGCAATATAATGGGCAATTTCCTACAATTTTTCCCGTTCTTCTCCGGCAAATAGCCCCCATAAACAACCCCAATTTCCGAAACTTTCCCTAAATTCTTCAAACTCTTGTTCGATGGAGCCCTAACCCTAATATTGGGCACCGATTTAGGAGAACCAATCGCAGAGTCCGGTAAAAAAATCCGGATCGAAAGTGAGGTAAAAGGGTCAATATGTAGATCCTTGGTGGCGACGCCGTCCATTGAAAAGCTGGGATTTGCAGCTGCGATGCTTTCATCAGGCCTTGAAACTACCCCATGCGAGATGGAATTAGGATTAGAATTTGGGTTTTCAATTAGGGTTTGTAATTTGCGTTTGAGGATGAACTTGAAGAGCACGCTGTACAATTTCACTGTCAAGCTCGGCATTTTGGATATACACACAAAAATATACACATATATCGTTATATATGAATATTTATGTGTGCATATGCAGAGATCAAAAGAGACTGATTCAATTCAAATGGTGAGAACTTCTAGAAAGAGAAGAATAAATGTTTGAATTTTCTGCGGATATATATATATATATATATATACAAGTTCGTGTGTATGTATAATCTGATGGAGAAGATGACGTCGTATGATTTTGTGCAGTAATCGGTGGTACGTCAAGCTTTTTGATTTGGACTTCTTGGCCCTAATTACAGTTACTCCAGGGTATGGGCCGGGTTCTGGATGGCCTGAAACAGAAAAAATGTTCACATGTTTATTAACGTTGTACAAAACGTACCAGCTCATGGATTATCTCACGCTGTTGTTGACTAATTGTTTAAATTTTCAATGGCAGAACGAGACGAGTATCTTCTAAGAAATAGATTCGAGTTCAAATTTAGACAGTTCTGAATTTTGAGATCGAGAACTAAAATTTTGATTTTGTTATCAATTTTAGTATAAGATATTTAATTCGGTTTTTAATTTTACATTAAAAATTAATTAAGTTAAACCTAGTTACCATATTATAACTCTTAATTTTTTTTTTCTTTTTTTTTTTTTAACAGTATGAAGAGATGTGAAGTGACGCAAGAAAGGGTTGGAGGTGGCCATTTCTTGAGCGGATTGGTCACTACAAATTAACTATCTAACTACAAGAAAGATAAAGGCAACGCACTAGTTTGTCGAGAGCTAAAAGGGACTTCATGACACAAGGGTAAGTTTGCAAACAAAAAATAGGTAAGCAATAATCAAGTTTATCTTGTTTTTCAAATATTTTGTTGATTAATTAAAACGATATTTGTTGATGAAGTCTCATTTTTAATATTTTGTTTTTTGCCGATTTTCTAATAGAACGTAAAGGGTGGGCGTGGGTGGGTGGGGGGGGGTAATAAGTTTTCAAACAGAAAATAGGTCAGCAATAATCAAGTTTGTCTCGTTTTACAAATATTTTGTTGATTAATTAAAACGATATTTGTTGATGAAGTCTCAATTTTAATCTATTATTTTTTACTGATTTTCTAATAGAATGTAAAGGGTTTGGGGAGGGGGGGGGGGGGGGGGGG